CTGTCAGCTTAATGGGATTTTATAAAGCGATATCGCATATCCGACCAAACCTGTAAAAAGGGTGGTGGCTGATAGCATAGAGATGTTGAAGAATGAGTGGTCGGGAAATGTGCTCGGTGGTGTAGTGGTAGAGCACGCGTCCCCGGATAGGATAAAGCGCGGGTTCGATTCCCGACTCAAGCCGTGTTTTTGCTCACCACTCAATTCCTCTTAGTTATATAAGTAACATCATAACATTGCGAAAAAAGCAGTAGAAATACTTTAATTTTTAAAATTTGGAAGAAATTGAAATTAACACTATGCATACTATAGAGTGATTGAGGAGAGCGTTATCCATGTGGCCAAAAGCTTTCAAGACCATGAGTACATTGCTAGAGAGAATTTATAGTCGTCTACTAGACCTTCGAAATTTCTCATTTTATATCAATTAAATCGCAGGCCGGTTTTTTTTCACTAATTGTTGTGCACACCTCATTACATTTTGCTGGCGGTTCCAGTACTTATAGCATTCAATCACAGGATCTTCAAACATTTCGCGTGTTTTTTCGACTGCTGCTCAGGGGATGTCTTCTTTTTTGATGTATGTCATAAAACACGAAGTAAAATCTTCTCGCAGTTTCATAAATAGTAGAGTTAAGATGTTCCGAAGGTGTTTGATGATTTGTTGCAAGAGAGTGGTGGTTGATAGGGTCGAACTGGACCTCACTTCCTCATAATCTACGTAACTAACTAGCAGACACTATCACAGCTGAAATGGAAAACAACGCAGAAGTACTTCACATTTTACTTAACACTGCAAATGCATTGCAGTTTGATCACGATAAAATTCATGCTTTTTTAAGTCAAATTCGCTACCTCTGCTGAGATGCTGTTAAGCTGACAACTCAAGTAGTCCAGTTGCCGAAAGCCGCTACATAGTCTTGCTTACCAAGCAGCAGTGAAATATCGCAGTTTGACCTCCAGCTTCACCCACTATTACCCTTTTCGAAACTCACCAAGTCTCCCGCTGAGCCAGCAGCGCCCTCGTTGTTTTTTCTCTTTAGCGTGTTCCTGCTAACCGGCGGCTGTCACAGCAATCACCCTACAATAGGATTGATTTGAGAAGTTAACTCGAAATCGTCTCAGAAGCCGTGGTCGACATCAAAGCCTTTCACCTTGTTCTCTGTCTGATCATGAGTACTCTTAGGGCTACAGTTCACATCGTACGCTACCGTTAAGAGCGTCAAACACAAAAACGAGTTAGGATTGTGATTTTAACCACAGTCCCGGCTTATCTGTTCAAAGCCGATTGTGCTTCTCAGATTGATTTCATCGACGAATGATATGTGATCAAAACAATATGGTTTGAACATGGTTGATAGAAAGCACAACATGGCCTCAATAGTGCAATCTGTAACTCGTTCACCCGGAAAAAGTAGTCGCGGGTTCAAAGCTACCTCAAATTCCGAGTTTCCTCGCATCTCAGCACTGACATTCCTGTAAACAGATTATTTGAGGTATTCAATGAAGCATTTGCCTTTGCGAATCTTTGGATGATTTTCTCCGAGTGTTATATGCATGCCGCACAATGTGCACGGTCCAAATTACTGACCGAAGAAGAGACGCTTTATCCTTCCTGTAACTACCAGTGTCTTTTTCTTCATGCCCAATAAGCAAGAACACTCCATGAAATCCATAAAGACCACCACAAACTACGCCAGTCTAAATGAGTTCTTATTCCCATAAGAATATTAGAGTATTTCTCGGGCTTCTCTATACTTTCTCAGTTCTTCCATCTATAGAAACAATGGTAAAGCACTGCCGATGCAGTGCAAAAGGTAGGTACCGAGGAAAAGCTAGGGCAACAGAAGTAATGGCAGGAAGGATCACGGTTGAAAATGAGTTAAACAAACTGTTATGATCTTCAAGTACTAGAGTTGTAAGCGAATGAATGTTGAGTCGTTAAACAGTGTAAATAAAGGAGGAAATTACATTCAGCACTGATCTAGTCATTGTAGTCCACTCTCGAATGTCCGTTGTCGGATCCTGATTGGCCGCGATGTTCTGTACAACAGATGGTACTACGCGATCAACGTCACTGGCTTACAAAACTATGTGCACTCGTTCCTGATCAAGGTTCGAAGGTTTTTCAACCATACATCCTGTGAATCCCTGACAGAGACTGAAATCAATAAATGTAAACTATTAACTAAGAGATTTGTTCATTTTCAAAAATTGAAATTAATGACGAGATGGTTTGGGTAAATGGAGACTCCTTTTGATCACTAGTTTTACGTTGATTATTAATATATCACGGAGGCAAATTATCGTTCACCGGCTTGTTGTTTAGTGACCTGGCGCACACTTCTTCACGCGGTGATGTCCTTCAGACCATCCATGCCTTTGCCAGCAGTCAAACTACCGCCGAGGTGCTTGACTCATGCGAACAAAAGGGTTTACCCACCAGAAACGAATCCTGTTGATGGCAGAGGATTCAGCTATGCAAGAGGATCGAGCAAACGGTTTGGATATGAGTAAGTGCCTTCAGTTTTTTTGTTAGTTGTTCCTACACGACAAAAATAAGAACCACGGCACACTCAACTGTTAACGTGATTTTACATTCTGAACACACTGGGATTCCAAATTCTCCATGTGACTTACATTTTCAACTATAGCGTATATTATGCGTTAAATGGTTTTATGCAAATGCCTGAGGTTTCCGTTATTAGGATCAATAGCCCTGATCATCATATGAAAAGCGAAAGTGGGACTCTTATATTTGATTATTTGAAAGGTCGTCATCATTCATTGACTCTGGCCTTACTTCTTCCATTATATGAACATTTCCGTTCTTCTTAGTGATAGTAGATCTTTTCTTTGTCTATTATTCTGAGTAGACACTTTTTGTTTATAAGAGCTTCCAAGTATTTCCCCAACTGACACTACTTCCATTACATTCTGGTTGAGTTTACAGTTATCGAAGTGGCTGAATTGGAAACTGTTCTATGATACAGCTATCGAGTCGATAATGAAACAGTGCAAATCCATTTTTGTCTCTCCAAATCGTCATCTTGGGCGAGCTATTATGGACGCCTTTTCTATATGACTTCTTCACTTACATCCTTGTCTTGCATGTCCAGAACGAGCCTTCATAGCGAAATCGCAACAAAACACTAACCTCTTCCCAACAAAATCGGGCACTTTCTTGAGTAGTTTCTTTCTAACTAACAAATATTTCGTTCTCATATTTCTATGCACTATATCAGCTGAGCTTCTATCGTGGCATTTTCTAGATTTTCATCGTTCTCTCTAATACGCTGTATGTAGAAGAGGAGTTGTTAAGCAACTCACATTTTCTCGTGCCCGATTAAATTCTGAATTTAATCTGGAACCATAGTATGACGGTCCAAAACTTGAACATTCAGCAAATATGGTCGATCTCTTAGGAAATTTCCGGTGACCGGACGACGGCATGCTAGAGAATCACGGCGAAGATATGAAATGGAGTGAGTGTTTCTTTACCTCTTTGAATGGAATTCGAGTGAAGATTCCATTGATAGAGCTAGAAGCGACTGATTACTTACTGGTTACAATCTTGAGACATTCTGACCTACAGTGTAAAATGTTCCTCGTCGCCTGCTCTTAGTAAAGGGGACTGAGCGCCCCGAGAGGATTGGCTAAAGACGAAGGGTACCGCCCGACTGATGAGACTGTCAAGGTCGAAACATCGGGCTCTATAAGTCAGCCCATTCAACAGACCACATGACACGCTGGCTCAAATAACAATTACGAGATATGTTGAAATCTCGAAATTGTTTTATCATTTATCACACTTACTGTAATTGTAATATAGTGTTTTTCATCCACTTTTGAATTTTTTCTCACTAGGACGTTTAAATAGTAAATAGCATGAAAAACTGGTCTAAAAATATTGTTTGCAAATCAAGGATCTAAATGGAATCGACTAAGACTAAAGGGAAATGGAGGAGTATTACTACATGTTTCGTACAAAATTGAGATTTTTCGATTTCGGTACTGTAAACCATGAGAGCTTTGAGTAAATTTAAACTGGGTAATAAAATAGGAATAATTAGACATACAGCAAAAGTGACAGCCAACAAAGAATTGTTGAGACCGTAAACATTCTACTAAGAAATGCGAAGTCTTTCGATAAACTGATGATTGTGAAGAGTTTTTAGTAAATCTGACTTTCACCTTCTTTATAAACGTGATATATCAGGGCGAAAGTAGAAAGTCAAGCACGAAAAATTAGAAAAATACAAGAATGGAGAATAGGTAGGAGAAATCTACAACTAGGTAACGATAGAACACTCTGCGTCCAAAGTCTCCTCTGCAGCTCGCGGAGATGCGAATAGTGGAGTGGTTAGATACACTGCACCACTCACGTTATCGCCTGCTCTATCCCTCATCCCAAGCTCACCAAACCTTCCATCTCTTCAGAATCAGGAAAGAATACCAGACTTGTCTGTGAAGATAGTTTCGACTTTGTACATCGATGTGCCACCGCACGTCATTGTACTGACTATTCACACATCCATTCACATCACCTCTAACGACGCTTGACAAAACGTATCCCTGGCTCATTCTTCAGAGATTGATCAAAGGCAAACGGTTTATTCTTTTTGGTCTTTCCGTTAGTTGAGCGCCACTTCGACCCCTCTTAAATAACGTCTTTATTGGTATATTTCAATTCAGATAATTCTTGGATGGCACAAATCAAAACAACTTGAACGGTGTATTCCATCTTGAAAAAGGTCTTATTATTGCGCTGACAGAGCAAAGTAATATTTTGTTCCACATTGAAAGATTTCTCGCTGACCAAAGCTTTTCCTCAGGAGTTTCACTAGCCAATCGATAGATCAAATCTTAAGGATTCCAACGATATGTTTATTTTTATGATGGACCTGGTAACGCTGTAACAGTCAAAAGAAATGTTTTCGCAAAAATGGGTCACTTGAACTATCTTCGCTTCACTTTGATCCATTGGGAAAAACGTGTTTGCTGATCGTTTCCAATGTTTAAATAATCAATCGATAGCTTGAATGAAAAGAATTTGATTGGTGTTACTTACTTTCAAAAACTCTTGTTATTGCGCTGAAAGAGCAAAAATAATGTTTTGTTTCTCATTGGAAGATTTCTCGCTGATCAAAAATTTTCCTTTGGAGTTTCAGTGATTAGTCGATA